GGAAAAACACCACCCATCCTAAGTCTCCTCACCGGATGACTAGTCAAAAGATTGCCAGAGGCTCCTCCGAAGAAGAAGTTGGCAATCTGCTTCCAAAAAGTCACAACCTTGGCAACTCTATGGAGCACAGTTCTACTCTGATACTTGTGCACGTGTATGTGTACACACACACACACACACACACAGCAGAATAGACCCATCTGCAACTGACAACAAGAAGGGCTTTATGCTCCTCTCTTGTTACGGCTCTGTAGTTCCGCTCTGAGGCTGGGGAGGGCCAGGGGTAGGGAGCGTGCTGCTGAAAAGACCACCACCAGCCATTGGCTGCACCTGGGCCCAGGGCGCCACCACCACCTGCAGCTGTGAAATTCACCATCAAAGTGTACGTGTTGTGAATGTAACCATCAAAGTGTAAACATCCTACCAAGTTACTATGCACATTTTCAGCATCATTTCAATTCCTATGAATAGACTGGATTTTCTTAAAAACACCGCAATGATGCTAACATTTGGATTCTGACTCATGGCAGCCCCTGAGTGTCATGTTCACTGCGGGTGAGCACAAGTGTAAAGTGTATGCAAGTCAAGCTGAACACCAGACACTTTTCAATGGCTGGCTTTTCTTCTGGCAGTAGATGCCAAGCTTTTCTTCCAAGGCACCTCTCTCCATTAGCAGTCAAACACATTGGCCATGTGGCACCACCCAAGGCCACTTAGGCTAGAAATCCACCTAGATTTCCACTGTCATCAATTCTATTCCAATGCATATCAGCTTTATAAGACAGAGGACTGCAGGGTTTCTGAGACTGAATCTTTACAGGAGCAGACAGCCTCATCTTTCTCCACAGAGCTCCTGGGGATCAAACTTAGGTTGGCACCTAAAAGCATAAACCACTATGGCTCTGAGGTGTTAAGATTAAGGGTAATGAAGTTAGGGTGTACTGAGAAAATTGTGTCCCCAGGCTTATTTTCTCTGGTTAGCAGATTTTCTGTTGAATGGCTTCATTGCATTCTCTGTAGACCCCGACCTTTCTAATTTCATTTACACTGACACTCAGATAAGGGGGCAAAAGTTCTTTTCAAACCATGCTGAGCGGGACTTGGAAGATGGCAGGTCTTCTTTGAGGAACCTCTCACCCTGCCTCCCAACGTTTTCCATATCAAATTGATCAGAGGCTGTGTTAGTCTGGGTTGACTAGAGCAGCAAATTCATAGAGGCACTCTTATGTGTATAAGAAAGAGCTTTATATACAAGAGCAGTTGAATATTGAGAAAACATCCCAGCCCAGTGCAGATAAAGTCCATAAGTCTGACATTAGCCCATGTGTCTGATACCAGTCTATAATGTCCCCTGGAGACTCATGAAACACATGCAATGACGTCAAATGCAGAAAGATCACAGGCCAGTGGGTGGAAGATCCTGTAAATCCAGTATTAGTGTAAGCATATCAGTGCTGGCAGGGGTCTCCATGTGGCTTCTCCGGCTCCAGAGGTCTGGCTCCATCAGCCTCGCTCTATGTGTCTTCTCCACGGGGATGTCTCACAGGAAGTGAGCTGAAAGGGAGAGTGTGTCTCCAGCCTCCAAGGAGGAACTACAGGAGTTCCCAGAATCCTCAGGAGAAGGCCAAGCCCACACAGAGGCCTCATTGGTTATATCCTGATTAACAGGCTAGACTCCACCCCTATGCTCTTAATCCTCAAATTGACGCCAATTGTGTAACTACCACATAGTCATACACAGTGGGGTCCTCCCATTTAAACCCTAACTTTAACTTAACGATGCCTTCAGAAGAAGCCCTCATGGCACAGTGATTACAAGTGGGTCTGTTAACTGCAAGGCCAGCAGTTTGAAACCACCGGCCGGTCCTTGGGAGAAAGGCGAGGCTTTCTATTTCCCTAAAGAGTTGCAGTCTCAGAAACCCAAAGGGGGCAGTTCTATGCTGTCCGATTAAGGTCCCTACGAGTTGGAATTGACTCAATGACAGTGAGTTTTGCCTTTAGAAACCCAGGACCTCCAGGGAGCAAGGTAAAAACAGACTGGCACTGTTGAAAATAATTTGTTTTTTAATGAAATATGGAAGTTTTAGTTGTAACATGTTGTCCCATTTCATACAGACCCCTAAAGGCCATAGTAGGAGCAAAACAAGTAGGTAAATGAGAACCTTCAGCAAAGAACCTTCGGAGCACATTCGGTGCGCTCTTACTAAGGTGCCTGCTCGTGTGCATTTGAGTTCCTTCACTGTTTTGTTTGTAATAAGAGTGGATGAGATTCCAATCACCATTGAAATAACCAAGGATATGCCTGTGGACTGCAGTCTTCGTTTCCCGTAGCCACAAGGAGAACGTGCATCAGAGAACCAAATCGCCCCTTAAAGGTCTCCAGTTTGCTTTGCGTGCACTTGGTTGGGTTGGCTGTGCCCCCCTAGTAATGCCTCGCTGCTTCCTGCTAGATTGCCACAGACGAAGACAGCGGGATCCTCCTGTATAAAGGTGACAAAGACCACATCGCGGTAGAACTCTACCGGGGACGTGTCCGTGCCAGCTATGACACCGGCTCTCACCCGGCTTCAGCCATTTACAGGTGAAGATCTCACAATTACTGGTAAAGGTGGATTAAAAAAAAAAAAACTTATCGATGAAAGAATTGCTTTCCCTCAGTGAGGGCGGGAGGGAGGAATTTGGTCACTGGAAGTTTTATGACGAGTGCACTAGTTAGGGACCTGTCCAAAGTTAGTCATATGAGAAGAGGTGAAAATAGGTGTGGGCAGGGATGGTGCAGAATCTGGGGCTCGTTGTGAGGAGCTGGAATGATCAGGGAGAGGCATGCCCAGAAAAGATTTGGTGTCCTTCCATAGAGAGATGTCACTAGTGCCAGCGAGGCCACAAGGAAAGGATCTGGGCTTGAGAGGTTCTATCCCCCTTCTTCCCAGGATGTCCTGTTCAACCTTGTTAGTGGCTAAATCAAAGCTTTAAACTTGAGGAATCCATGACGTCCCATGTCAAATGCAAGATTCCCAGCCTGGTGGGTTGTTTTAACTTAACTGTTCGTGCAACATCTATTTAACAAGCACCTGCTCTGTGCCAGGCAATATACTGGAGCGATCCAGAAGGTTTTCAAAAGGGCATCCTTTGGGGTAATGGAGAGGGCCATGTTCAATGATAGATACATAGCCAGTGTCCTGAAGATGGCACGGGCTGACTGAGGCAGTGTTTCATTCTGTTGCACAACAGGTTGCCATACATTAACTTTAGGGCAACGATAGTCCGATACATCAACGAATCTAAGCTCTAAAGAATAATACGTATGGGTCTTATACTTAACAAACAAATGGACATATAAAATAATGTTATAGGCGTTCTCGTTCCTTCAGTTTGGAGCATTTGGAAGTGTCTTTTTTTTTCTTTCTTTTTATTGGGGGCTTGTACAACTCTTATCACCATCCATACATACACATCCATTGTCTCAAGCACATTTGTACATTTGTTGCCATCATTATTTTCTAAGTATTTTCTTTCTGCTTGAGGCCTTGTTATCAGCTCCTCATTTCCCCCCTCCATCCCCCACCGTCCCTCCCTCATGAACCCATGATAATTTATAAATTATTAATATATTTTATTGTCTTACACAGTCCAATGTCTCCTTTCACCCACTTTTCTGCTGTCTGCCCCCCAGGGAGGGGATTATATGCAGATCCTTGTGATAGGTTCCCCCTTTCTCCCCAACCTTCCCCTTCCCCTCCTGGTATTTCTACTCTCATTATTGGTCCTGAGGGGCTTATCTGTCCTGGATTCCCTGTGTTTTCAGCTCTGATCTGTACCAGTGTACATCCTCTGGTCTAGCCGGATTTGTAAGGTAGCATTGGGATCATGATAGTGGGAGGGGGGCATTAAAGAACTAGAAGAAAGTTGTCTTCATACTATAATAATATTGATATATTGGAGCTGTGAAAAGGGGTGGTATACAGGGGATATATCCATCTCGGTGGAAATGCCAGCCTGTTCCTTTGAATGGTGTTTGCATTTAACTAACCATCAGAGCCCCTCTGCTGGGTGCCAGCTCTGGTTCCTAAAGTTCTATAAACAAGTGTCCAAGCTGATTTCTTCCCAAGATAGAGAAAATGGCTGCTGTGGAGCGTGTGTGTCACAAGGGTGCTTGAAGTCAGTTTTTTCAAGCAGACGAGCGGATACAGCAGGTCAGCTATGAGGAAGAAATGTGCTCTGAGTCTTATTTCTGAAATGGCCTGATTCTTTGGGAAGGATGTCTCTGCTACAAATAGCCTTGTTGGTCATGGTGGTTGCCTTCCAGTCAATTCTGACTCCAAGCGGTCGCCCATGGCAGAGGAGGACTGCTCTGGAGGGTTTGCTAGGCTGCCATCTCTCCGGAATCAGATCTCCAGTTCTTTCTTTCTTCAGAAGAGCTAGGTGGGTTCACACTGCCGGCCTTGTGGTTAGCAGGGGAGCATTTAACTCTTGGGTCACCAGGGTCCCATACCCACAGCCCACTGCACCTGGAATGACAGGAGTGACTGCGATGCCAGTGAATTACAAACAAACAAAACCTCACTGCCTTGGAACCACTTCCAACTTACAGTGACCTTGAAGGACACAGCGCCTCTGTCCCCGTGGATTTCTGAGGCTGTAACTCCCCAAGCCTTATTGAAACCAGATTGTGCCTCCTGCTCCTTTCACCCCAGAATTCTGCCCCATGAAATGCAGACCCAGGTTCAGCCAGAATTCATTATTTTTTCATAGAAAAGCAAAAATCTGGAATTTAGGTAAAACCGAAGGCCACTATTTTATCACTTGTAAATATTGATTGAGTTTCTTTTTCTAAATAGTATATGCGGTAAACAAAAACCTCTCTGTGGTTACACACACTCTGTCGCCAGTTGGTAGCCCTTGCTTGGGACAACACATAGAGAAACTGACCTCTATAAGACTGGCGTTAGAGCTAACAATATGCTCCAAAAGCCATTGTACCTTACTTAATCCTTCATGGTACATGTGGAAGGAGATGCCAATTGTTGACGTGAGTAGAATTTGAAAAGTTATTTTGGTGGCTATTGAGACAAACATATAATTATGGGTTTCCAAGTGGAATACAATAGTGATTTCATCTCCCAATGGCAATGAGCAAAAGCCAGTATTTTATATATGACTTAGCCTTAAATTATACAGCTCAATTTATTGCTGCCCAAAGAAAAAGAGCTCAAATGTGTGTGGTTCAATTTTGTGGGTTTTCTTTTTAATTTAATTTTTTTGTGTTGTTTCATTTTACATCACAAACTCGCATCGGCTTCTCATAAACCATAGCAAGAAGGATCTTGAGGTTGGCTTACTCAATGAGAATTGACATGAAAATGCATTTCCAAGGATGCCTTAAAAACCAAAATGATTATTTCCAAATGAGGACTGAGTGGAAAGTGCTTATTTTTGAGTTTAGGTTCATTGCCATTTCTTGCCTCAGAAACACAAGCTTGGAACTTGTAGCAGTTCTGGAAATGGTATCCTGTTACATACTTTTCTGTATGACCCAAGAGCCCACATTTTTGCTGGTAGCTCATCAGTGGAGACGTCCACTGTGAAGTCCAGGACAGAGTTTTGATTCAGTTCTTCTTTACTTAGTTTATGCTGCCACCACTCAATGAAAGGACTCCATTACTTTTGGTTTAGTAAAAGAAAACGTTGATAAAAGCAATGACTGCATAAAATAATTCATAGATCTGAATACATATGTGTGATGTGTGAATTTTGTGAGTGAGAACATACATGTATTCCCTCTTGTACACAGCACGGTGGCACACATCATTCCTGGGTGGTAAAGATCATTGACATTTAGAAATAACTATGAGAAAGATTAGCCTATTTTTCTTTTTCTGTCGCGTGCTTTCGTTGTTTAGAATATGGAGAACCAGGCACGCATCACTTCGGCATGTAGATTCTGTGGCACTGACCACATGCCTTTTGTGGTGCTGCCTCTTCCTTTTCCGGGTTGTTCCTCCTCCATCAGCCTCTACTTATTGCCCCTGGGGGTTCCTACCTGATCTGGGGCGGGGGGAGCTGCTGCCCTTAGTCCCATGGGGAGATGAACAAAAGGCTTAAGGTCTACACTGTAACTGTCTTAGTTACAGAGGTCTTAGTTAAGCTACACTGGTAGGTGGCTTTAAGACACCTTCAGAGTATTTAATACCATGTTATAGATATTTTTGCAACAACAAATAGTCTCTGCTGAGATGATTAATGCACAAGCAAAAACCTCATGGGATTGGATTCCTTGGTTTGGAGGCTTATGGTCCTGGTTTTGTGGGAGATCCCAGTGAGTTGTCCTAATACCAGGTTCCAACTCTTACGTCCTTGCGTAGTGCCTGGGACCTTAAACAAGCAGCTGCCCTAGGAACAATGATTTGTTCACCTGGAGTGACAGAGGAAGGGGAGTCAGGAAGGGGAGGAGGACATGAAATGTGTGGCCAATCGTCTCCATGAAGGACCACCTCCTTTGCCACAAACAAGAAGAGCTAGCTGGATGTCACCTGAGTAACATTGCTGAAATTTTGGGTCGAAGATTCTATAGCAGAATCCCGATCCAAGGGGAGGAAAATCAAGAACGGAATTTAAAATTCGAACCAAAAATGGAAAGTCCACTGCCAGTGAGTTGATTTTATCTCAGAGCCACCACCAGGTAGAGGGTTTCCAAGACTGTAAATCTCCCTCTCTCCTGGAGCATGTAATAGGTTGGAACTGCTGACTTTGTGGTTCACAGTACCTAATCCACAGCACCACCATCGCTTCTATCCGAACCATAGTCTGAATAAACCCAAAAAAACGATTCCCCTGAAACAATCTTGAATCCTTAAATCTAAAAGACTAACATCTTCTAACACGTCAGGAGAAACCAGCATTTGTCAGAGCAGATCTCATTGTAGCTAAGATGTGTGCTTTGTTTTCTATTTATATCAGTTTAGGCAAGGTACTTCATTGTTCTGTGCCTCAGGACCCATCTCTGTAAATAATACAGCACCATCCCATCAAGTTAACGTGAGGATTTAAATTCTAACCTAGCTCTAAAATGCAAAGAACAAGGCATGTTATGTAGTAAGAGCTTTTAAAACATTATCATCGTTGAACGGATCACTGAAGACAAATGGGTGCATAAGCAAATGTGGCGAAGAAAGCTGATGGTGCCCGGCTATCAAAAAGTATAGCGTCTGGG